TAAGGGTTGTTCATATAATAAGAATCTAATGTTCTCAGGGCTCTAGACTGCATTTGCAACAATTTTTTGAGAATGTGCGAGTTAAAATTTGACGTGGTCGCATTTGTGCGAGTGCATGCTCCGCACTGCTGCAAAGCGTTTGCTCCATACAGTGAGCGTTGCAGAGCTGCGGCACATTGTTGCAGGAGTCAGATTTCACTGATCACGTGAAGAGAGCTTCAGGTGTAGAGCCTGGTTTATACTCGACGCATCAGCACGAGAGTGAAGGTGTGTGCAGCGCACGGCAAAAATGACGTGAATATTGAGGAAATGATGGCAGACGGAGGATTTGGTTTTCACACTAAAGGAAAATAAAAGGCCGCTTCATAAACCAGAGAAGGTGAAAATGTTGGTATTCTTGATAAAAAAAAAAGCAAGTCCTGTCACCGACAGCCAGTTCAGTTTTACTTTTCTTTTTGTTTTCATTTGAAAAAGCTCGTTATACTTGCTGTTTACCTCACGTTATGCTATGGAGGCTTTCTTAAAAAAATTGTTTTTAATTTATTTGATTTCTCAGTGTTTGCTAAACATTCTGTAATTTATAAGTTGATATATAATACAGCATGTGGTGTATGCCATGCCTCATCTTATTTGTTTTTGTTAATAAACGTTTTGTAAGCTAGCTTGTCATTGTATCTTACCGTTTTATTCTTGTTGTGCTTTTTAATTCAGAATAACAATGAATCCATATTTTGTTTTAGTCTTAAAAAGTGAAAGGTGTATGTAAGCAAAACAGACAATTATCTTTTCTTGTAAAACGTGACAAGATCGCGAATTCGAAAGTGAAAGCACCCAAAGCCCAGCCTTATTTGTTTTTGTTAATAAACGTTATGTAATCTAGTTTGTCATCATAGCCTACTGTTTTATTGTTGTTGTGCTTTTTAATTAAGAACAACAATGAATGCATCTTTTGTTTTTGTCTTAAAAAGTAAAAGGTGTATAGATATAAGCAAAACACACAATTATCTTTTCTTGTAAAACATGACACCAAGATCGCGAATTCAAAAGTGAAATTGAAAGTGCCCGAAACTCGGCTTAAAACACAGCAAATATAACCCGTTCACAAAATTTAAATCACAAATAATACTGATGAAAAAGAATGGGTTCAATGTTGAACACTTTCGTTACATATAACTATAAACTATGTTAAAAGTTCATCAGCATGCATTGATTAATCCCATGTTGTAGCAAAAAATAAAATAAAATTGGGACCAAATTATGTGCTCGTGCGACCAACTGAGAAAATTAGTCTCAAAAGAGCGACCAGTGGGAAGAATGAGTCTAGAGCCCTCTGGGGCCAGTTGCATAAACTTAGCCACCATGTTAAGACTGTGTCTTAAGAGCTAGTTTGACCAACTAGCAGTTGCCAAGGGTCAAAAATTCGTACTAATATGGGTCAACGGGCATTTAGTTATGTTGCTCCATTTAATTGGAATCAACTACAAGATAAGTTATGCTTAAAAGAGTTGGTATCACTAAATTATTTTAAATGTATTTTACATTTGGGCCTTTATCTGTTAAAAACTTGAAAGTTCATTACTTATTATTTTTTTCTTTTCTGTGCCAGACTGTAATGTGTCTGGGACATCCATGCCTTTGCAGTCTAAACACCTCATTTTCTGTCATTTTTCAAGTGAACTAAGATATGTTGTGTCTTATTGATTGTCTTTTTATTAAGTGGTTACCATTGAAAGATGTGTCCTACTTGCCTTCAAGTGCTGGTGTTAACCTCAGACACTGAACGCTACCTACTCATTTAATGTATGCAGTGTAGACACTTTGAACTATTACCATTATTAGTGTTATCTATCAGCTCAGCAGTTGGCCACTATCCCATGCAACTCCTACTTCACTTTCAGTAAGATTATACACGTTTTTATCATGACAGTTGAGAAAATGGCCCAAGGGCAATCCAATTATGATGCCCCAAAACCTTACTATGTTAACTTTCCCTCAAGGCCAGAATCTGAAGTTGGGACAGTTTTTCAGAGCATATCTTAAATTAGTTAACAGCTCCCAAATCGCCACTTACCATGCGCTTATGTGCCGCTGTCAGCATGTATTTCAGTTACTCAGAGTCTCGTCTAAGCCATCAAACTCTTACTAAATTGATGCAGACAAATCAAGGAAGTGGTGTAGAGCCACTTTAAAAATAGCCGTCAAGCAACCTAAAAAAAATCATTGTGTATTTGAAAGTTCAGTCTTTAATTCTTGTATCTTCTGCTAACCAGAGTCTGCTTATGAAGAATAATGTAACCATAAAAGAAAACCCTAGGCCTTTTAGAAAATTAGATACCAACTCAAATGAAGAATGATCTCTTCCCACACATTAATCATTAAAAAGAGAGGAAGTTATAAACCTTTTTCATGCTAGAATATTATTTTCTGGTCTGTATCCTAATGAATTGCTAAACGAAACACCATGTTTTTTTTTTATTATAGTGTAAAATTAGCTGTCATGCAATCACTCAGAATGTTCTTTGAGTAGGAATTAAGCATTTGTAAGGTTCACTAAAGAATGATGACAGAAGCTTGAATGTCACTTTTTAATACTTTTTAATGTATGAATTCACTTCAAATCGCCAAACTATCACAGTCTGGTACTTTGTTGTGAACCTGATTGCTCAACCAATTGTTATAGTGGCCGTTAGATAGATGTTTTTCATTGAGGCAACGGTCTTGACTTGCTTTTAACTAAAATATTCTGAGCTGTATCAAAATTGTACACACACAATATAATTTTAACCCCAGCAAATTATCTTGGCTCACCTGCTAATTAAGCCTTGAATACAGTTTAGGATGAACATATGCTAATTTTAGAGAAAAAGAGGAGAGCTTCAACTGATCCAGCAGAGATGAAACGGTGTAACACGTTTCCTCTTTTATCACTCAGTCATGAATGGATTTTCAAGTTATTTTAGTTTTTTCTGCTTGGAGCACCAAGATGTTAATTTCTCCACACAAAATCTGTGCTTGCATAATGAGTGTGTGTGTGTGTGTGTGTGGTTGGCTCTTGTATACTGAGGTGGGTTTGAGCAACATTGCTGTGAAGTGATTAGATAAGTCACTACAAGCTTGCCATCTCACTTGTAATTGGCTCTGAGGACAAGGGTAGCATGTATGTTCAGGCACTGACTGCTTATAAAACGCTTATATGTCCCTTGCTTGTTTGCTCTCATCCTTCTGCTCTATACAGCTACTGTTTTTGCCCTGTGGAGCTTTCTTTCTTTCCATGATGTATATACATCTTTACTGTATGTCTGTCATCAGTAATGTCAACCAATACAGATATAATTTTATATTCATATTAATTATGTATATAATAAATATAAATTTGTGTGTGTGTGTGTATATATATATATATATATATATATATATATATATATATATATATATATATATATATATATGTGTGA